CAGAGGCAGAAGCAGGCTCCCTGCTGAGCAGGGAGTCCGATGCGGGACTCAATCCCGGGACTCCAGGATCATGACCTGAGCCGAAGGCAGTCACTTAACCAACTGAGCCACCCAGGCGCCCTAATTATATTTTTTTTACTGGAACCTCTTATATTTTCATATTAAATAATAGCATTAAAAAAAGATAGTTTTAGTTCTTATTTCCAGTTCTTATGTAAGTTATTTCGTTTTCTTTTTTGGCATTTTCTAGGACCTCCAATAACAGGATAAATAACAGGCCAAGTTTCATGGCTTTTTATTCCTCTCCTTTAATTGTTAGTGCTCCTGTACGTCTACCCTTGGTTGGACCATTTCACATCTCACTGAAGGGCAAGAATAATACTTGATTTGCCTGACACTCCATCTCTATCACCCAAAATAGGCCGAGAACATACTATAAAAATGAAAAAACATATATGTATTTCAAGAAGGAGAAATTGGCCAAATGTTGAGTTCTGTTAAGATCAAATAAAATAGGAATTCAAAAGTGCATTTTAGATTTAACAACAAGTTCATTGATGAACTTAGTGTTGGTATTTTAGTGGAAAGAGCGGAAACCACAGGACAGAAATTTTGGACAGCCTCTGAGAACATTTTGTGCAAACATTTGGGGGGCGGAGCTCTCCTAGTGCTTATGGGACACTGAAAACATTTCAGGATAGTGGAGCTCATGGTGCATATGGAGAGCTGGGAGCTGAGCAAAAGCCATGCTAAGGACTTTGTGCTTCAACTTGGGGCCCATGGGTAGCTATGGAAGAATTTAAACTAAAGAGTCACACCATTAGAATTGCTTTTTAGAAAGATCGTACTTTCTAAAGAAATAGAGTACTATTGGGGCACCTGGGTGGCTCAGTCATTAAGGGTCTGCCTTCGGCTCAGGTCATGATCCCAGGGTCCTGGGATCAAGCCCCACATTGGGCTCTCTGCTCAGCGGGAAGCCTGTTTCTCCCTCTCCCACTCCCCCTGCTTGTGTTCCCTCTCTCACTGTCTCTCTCTCTCTCTCTCTCTGTCAAATAAATAAATAAAATCTTAAAAAAAAAAAAAAAGACCATACTCTGGTAAGAGAAAGCCAGTTTCTGCTCTAGGAAAACAGAATTTGATGAAGATCCAGTGAACATCCTTTGAGGTTTTGGGTGCAGATTTCCTCAGAATTGTTTATTCTCCCACCCTGGAACCAGTTCAAATGGTGCTAAAAGCTGGTAATGGTGCTTATCCCATTCCTCTGCTGAATGTTCCCTATAGGAGCTCCTGATGTCTTCATGTCTGCTGGAATGGATGAGTTCTCTGGAAATCTTCTGGTCTGTAGATCTATTTCTGAAAAAGGAATCAGGAAGATTTGGATGGGGCTTGGGGAAGAATTCTTCTTAGAAGACTTCACAATCAAAGCAATTCAAGACTAGGATTCAGTAATAATTATGGTGACAGCATTGCAGCAGGATTGTTTTCCTTCCATATCTTCCTCCCTTCCTCCTCAAAGCCTGGCACCTCCTGAGACCAAGATAGTAGAGGTAGTGAGACTTGTTCAGATTCTGAATATGTTTGGAAATAGGGCTGATGGGATTTGCTGACAAATTGAATGTAGGATGAAAGAAAAAGAGATGGATCAGGATGATTCCAAATGTTTGGTCTGAGCAATTGGAAGCAAGGAGTTGCTATTTATTGACATAGAGGAAGTTATAGGATGAGCAAGTTTTGAAGAGGTCTAGAATTTAATTTTGGACATGTTATATTTGAGATGCTATTAGATACCGAAGAAGGACATCAAGCAGGTAGTTGGGCATAAAAGCCAAGGGTTCTTCTCCAGGGAGAAGCCTGGATTGGAGATATAAATTTGGGAGTGTTTAAAGCCATCAGACTGGATGAGGTCACCAGGAAGTAAATGGAGATAAAGAGGGGGAGCAAGGACAGAGCCTGGGGAAATCCAACATTTAGATAGGGAGATGAGGAAGAACCAATAAAGGAAACTAAGAAAAAACAGTCATTAAAGTAGAAGGAAAACTTAAAAAATGCAGTGTCATGGAAGCTAAGCACGGAAAATATTTCTAGGAGCACAGAATCATCAACTGCCAAATGCTGCAGATAAGTTGTATTAGTCCCAGTAGAACAGACTGCTGTAATAGAGACATTGGAGACATCCCCATATCTCAGTGGCATGGGCAATATAAGTTTATTTCTCACCCACGTACAATATATTCAGCAGCAGAGGAGAAAGATAAAAGGAGGGGAGAAGCAGCTCTTTGCTCCATGAAAATATTCAGGGTCCATGTTGACAGAGGTTGAATTATTTAACTTATGGTTTCAAAGGTACTCAGGGTGTCAATGTCCAGCCAGTAAATGGGGGTGAGAGATGAGAATAGTACACAGAAACTGTAATGGTAAGCGTCTAGCAAGAAATAAAGGGCACACTCAAGTTGGGTAATTTTAGAAAGGTTTTTTTTTTTTTTTTAAAGATTTTATTTATTTATTTGACAGAGAGAGAGATAGCGAGAGCAGGAACACAAGCGGGGGAGTGGGAGAGGGAGAAGCAGGCTTCCTGCCAGGCAGGGAGCCTGATGTGGGGGTCGATCCCAGGACCCTGGGATCATGACCTAAGCCGAAGGCAGACACTTAATGATTGAGCCACCAGGTGCCCCTAGAAAGGTTTAATAAAGGGATTATTTATAAAGGTAGGAGCAGGGGCAGGAAAACTGTGAAAGGATTTCCATAACCTTGAAATGGTTGATAGTCGTAGCTGTTACTACCTTAGACTTGAAGAGACGAGAGAAAGTAATGATTAGTGATCCAGGGGAACAAATTCCCTGACTTCCTTCCTCTCTGCCTCCAATCTCCTACAGGTACCTCGACGTGACTCAACCCAACCAGAAACGAGAAGGCTCATTAATAAAATCCCTAAGGCTAGGATCCTGAGGCCCAGAGCAGGATGGAGAAAGGTGAAGAGGCGATTTGGAGGAGCAGATATCCAGCATGGGCTCTCAGGCTTGGAAGGCACTATATCCCTTCCACCCACATTCCATTGGCCAGAACCCCATCCTATGGCCACCTCTAACTACAAATTAAGAAATCAAGTGCCCAAGAGGAGGAAGGAAAAGATTTGGTGAATAGCATACCCCTCTCTACCTCATGGCCAAGCAAGATGACAACTGAGAATTGACCACTGGATTCAGCAATATGGAGGCAATTGGTGATCATGATAATCCAGTCTTGGTTAGAGTTGTGAGTGTGAAAGCCTAATGGGAGTGGATGCAAGACAGAATGGGAGAAGAATCGGAGACTGGCAATTGCTAACAACTTCTTTCAGTCAGTTTTGCTGAAAAGGGAATCAAAGCAAAAAGGTAATAGCTGGAGGGTTGTGAGATCAAAGGGGTTTGCTTTGTTTTTCACAGTGAAGAAATAAAAGCATGTTTTATGCTGATGGGAATGTTCCAGGAGAGAGAAAAAATTGATGATGCAGGAAAGAGGGCAAATTGCTGGAGTGATGTCCTTGAGGAAGCAAGAAAGGATGAGATCTAGCCATAAGCTAAAGGTTGGCCTTGGAAAAGAACCCAGGCAGTTCATCTATAGGAACAGTGAAGAAAGCAGAATGTATGGACAGAATCCTGGTAGGGAGGAAATGTGGTGGGGAGCTTATTGAAGTTCCTTTCTAATCATTTGGATTTTCTCAGTGTAACAAGAGGGAAAGTTAGCTGAGAGTGAGTCTAGAGGAGGAATTTTGGGGGTTAAACAGAAATGAGACAGTACGACGTAGTTACCTAAGATGATGTGAGAAATGATACCCGGAAGTTAATCTTGCCAATGGAGATGGTCCAGTTTTCTCTGGGACAAGTGAAAGCCTCTGGCGCTGCCTTTCTCCACTCTGTCTGTAGACCTCTCCTTGTCCTAATCCAGCATCAGAACTGGAAAATAAGTATATAACTAGAGAGAGCACTTACCAGGTCCAAGCCCTGCTCTAAACATTTCACATGTATTTAGGCATAGTAATGCTATGCAGTACGTACTATTTTTTTTTAAGATTTATTTATTTATTCGAGAGAGAGAGAGCGTGAGGCAGAGGGAGAGGGAGAGAGAAACCCCAGCAGACTCTGCGCTCAGCACAGAGCCCCACATGGGGCTCAATCTCACGACCCTGAGATCACTTCCTGAGCCGAAACCAAGAGTCAGACACTCAAAACGACTGTGCCACCCAGTCGCCCCAATAGTAAGTACTACTGTTATCAACTCCCTTTCATAATAAGGAAACCCATGCACAAGGTAAGTAATACAGTAGATGCCTGAGCTGAATTCAACTCAGGCAGTCTGGCTCCAGGCTCTTGAATCCTAATTCTCTATACATATTAGATATGTCGGAGATAATCGCTAGAGGCGGCTGGGCTTGAGAGAAGGAAATAGAATTTTGAAAGGGCAAGGGGTTGCAGCCAGGTAGGTGGGGATGAGATGCTGTGCTTAGGAGAGGATTGGTAGGGACTTGCTGCTGGGAAACAGGTGGCCACATGGTGACCCAGGGAGCCTGGGACCCAATATCAGAAGTACAAGGACAAGGGGCGCCTGGGTGGCTCAGTCGTTAAGCGTCTGCCTTCGGCTCAGGTCATGATCCC